GATAGATAGATAGATAGATAGATAGATAGATAGATAGATAGATAGATAGATAGATAGATAGATAGATAGATAGATTGATAGATAGATAGATAGATAGATAGATAGATAGATAGATAGATAGATAGATAGATAGATAGATAGATAGATAGATAGATAGATAGATAGATAGATAGATAGATAGATAGATAGATAGATAGATAGATGAAGTTCGCGAAGAGATGTTTTGCACGTACAAGTTGGATGCCGCAGCAGACACCTTGAGATTTTCGAAGTGCCAGGTACTGACTGTAGTTTAAATGGGCGCCCATGTAATGTACATGCATCCCGCAGGAGTACGGTCAATAACGTGGGTTCAGTCTTTGCGAGCTGCAAGGCCTCGTTCACCGTCGCCTCGCGTGACTAACGTCGCAGGACAGGACATGTGAACAACCGAAATAGGAGAAAAAGCCCGCGCAATTGTGATAGCCTGATTGCCGACAAGATTAAACTGATGAATAACCAGAACGCGCTTACGATACGGCTGATGAAAAATACTGACACGATAGAGTCATACCAGAAACGCTCCGTAGTCGCGAGCTTTTTTGAATCACTCAGAGTGCAGCCCATTATTGTTCACCAGCAGCGAGTTACGCCAGGCAAGCTCAACATCAATTTGGCGGACGATGGTGTGCATACTAAGATCACTAAGGTCTGCTTCATCGAACGTGTTTTCCAAGCGCTGCACTATACAGCATTGTCACGTATTCGTGACAGTTAAATGTTAAGTTAAGATGTTAAGTCAGCATGCGCCTGACGTTGGGTCCGACGGCAGTGACAACGCGCCTTTGTTGTCCTGACTTGCAGCGACAGTGAGTCATCAGTGTCCGATTGTTGCGGAATTCTTGTGAATGACACGTATATAGTGCAGCAGCCAAATGACGGATAGCAGCAGCGAAGAGCGATCGTTATCTGACAACACGAGTTGGTTGATTTGTGGGGTTTAACGTCCAAAACCACCATATGATTATGAGAGACGCCGTAGTGGAGGGCTCCGGAAATTTCGACCACCTGGGGTTCTTTAACGTGCACCCAAATCTGAGTACACGGGCCTACAACATTTCCGCCTCCATCGGAAATGCAGCCGCCACAGCCGAGATTTGAACCCGCGACCTGCGGGTCAGCAGCCGAGTACCTTAGCCACTAGACCACCGTGGCGGGGCTGACAACACGAGTTAACCACCACGAATAACGACGAACTTCTCACCTCAACATAGTTCTTGACAGCCACGCAGCCGTTGCTTTGGTAGACACCCAAGCTGACTACTCGGTTATGAGTTAATCTATTGCCACCCACGGGAAGAAAGTTCGTACGAGGAGCGTTCCCATATGCAATTTGATGGAGGATAATCAATTACCATTCATTGGCGTCGATTATGGCCGTTTGAACAAAATCAAGAAGCAGCAAAAGTACTGCCTCCTAAGGACAGAACGCAACACTCTGAAAGCGCTGTGCACTGCAAAGTACAGCATAATAAATAGCGTGTGACTCTTTTTGAAGTGTTCTGTCTTGCCCCGAATACGACTATAAAGACTCACAGTGAAATTTTGTGGGTCAAAGACGGTAGGCTATAGCAGAGTGTCATGATTGTCTTGCCAAGAGTAAAGTGACTCTTAATCAAAATATCACATCATCGCCTCTGAGAGCAGTTCGGTGGTTCTGGCCGGCAACACTCCTACGTGGGTAAGGTCACACCAATCGAAGCATCAAGCGACTCTACCACAGTTGTGGGATAGTTATTTGAACCATGCTCTTCTTTTTCGTGACTATTGTTGGAAATAGTGAAGTATTCATTGTAAGCAAATGCAATGATACTTACTGTTGCACGGAGTGACGGGAAGTAATAATAGTTCAGCTTTAGCAATACTTTAATAAAGCTCCTCAAAAGAGTACAGCTTTTTCCACAGAGTAATATAGAAAGCATTAAAATGCTCTGCAATTTCCGATGAACCAGTTGAGGTAATCATGCTTTGAGTTCTTGTATGAGAATAGCCAACCAATATGTGTGATTATCGTGGCCATTGTGTGATTTTATGCAAAAGAAACTGCAGAAATTTGCATCATGATCTTTTGTATTTCTAATGAATACATAGAAAAAAGGTGATGGATGAAGGCATCGAACCGGTGACTTCATTGTAGTGGCTCTTCTTCAGTGTGAGCCCCCCTGAAGAGCGATACCTCAAAAGCATATGAATAATATGATGAAAAAACATACTAGTATTTAAAGTTTGCAAAAGCTACAAAATCAGAGATTTACAGAGACATGACGAGGGCTCCCAACAAATGAACAAGTACAAAATGCATGTTAAAAACTTTGTTTGTTTCCGCTTTCGTGTAAAAGAGAGCTTATAAACAGTAACTTTTGTAACAACTCCCAAGACAGCAGACTTGCAGCACAAAATCATGTGAGCCTCTTTGAAACAACCGCAATCGGTTTAGACTCCTTTGTGTGGATGCCACTCTGCTCCTTATCCATGTCACCTTGCCCAAAAAAAAACAAAATGTCTAGGACCGACTGTCATGTTGACAGGGTGAAGGGCCGCTCTCGAGTTTCCCACCACGAGCAGTGAGACATCAGAAACCAGCGACACCTTCGTTTTCGCGAGGACAACTGTCAAATGAAGTAAAGTGGTGCGAGAAGCAACCCGGTGTTGTGAGAATAACCGACACATATACCCTGATTATTTGTATTCAAAAACACCGTTTCTACAACAAACTGTTATCGTTGTTCAACACACCTGAGACGATTGTTTCGTTTTAAATAACTATGCAAAGAAAGCAAGTTTTCCCGTGAAAGAATGCGGGAAGCTTGTTTTGCAAGTGGTTATGGCAATGCACGAATGCACGAATGAAAGAATTTATTTTTAAGAGGAATTGCTTCGAAATTTGCTTTCATAACATTCCTGTCGTTGTGCCGGCATATTCGAATACCGAGGCGCATCTTCCGGCCGTCAGGGGCACGCCGTGAGCGGGTACTGACCATGCGATTTACAAACGTAAGCCACACTTAAATACCCAGATACGCACATGTGAGTGCGGGAGAGACACGGAGCGCGTGCGAATGCTATGCGTCAAGGTAGGATATCTCCTATGTAGACTAGTTGTTGCAGTCACGTACAATCCCTCAATTTCGTTGTAACGCAAAGCATCAACGCAGATGTATGCTTCGTCGGGAAAGTTGGTCACACATTGTGAAATAAGATCAAAAGAATTGACTGAAAAAAAAAAAGGTGCTGGTGAATCTTGCCGCTCAGCTATTTCAAGCGAATGCATTTGCGTCCGTGTAACTTAGGTCTCTCGTGGATCGAGCTAGAAAAGCTCGCACTATTTATCATAAATTAGCTGTTGTAGTTTAACGGCCCAAAACGACGACATCGTTATGGAGGAGGTTCTGGTAGAGGGTTCAGGAATTTTCGACCACCTGGTGTTTGTTCTCAAACAGTTGTAAGTGAACGGGTATCCTGTGTTTCGGCTCGATGTAAAATGTGGCCGTTGCTGCCGGGATTCGATCACGTGAGCTTCATGTCAGCGGTTATAACCGCTAGATTTATAATAATATAATAATAATAATAATAATAATAATATATTACTAATTTGTGTTTTGTGTCCCAAAACCTCGATATTATTATTAGGCATGCCGTATAGTGAAGGGCTCAGGAAATTTCGACCACTTGGGGTTCTTTAACATGCACCTAGAGCTACGTACACGGGCGAAAACCATTCTCGCCTCTATCTAAAATGCAGCCGCCGTGGCCGGGATTAGATCCCACCACATTCGGGTCAGCAGTCGAGTGCCATTACCTATAGACTAACCTGGCAGGTAGGCCGCCGTAAAAAAATTTTTAGTACGAATAGTGCATATATTTCTAAAGTCTGCTTAAGCTCACCCTAGGTTGCCTCTGTCACCAGTTATTGTTTTAACGTAAAGTGATATAAGCGGCTCTTGCAAGTGTTAAAAAAGACTGAGATGAAGAAATAGGCTTGTCAGACTACGTGCTGACGTTGGTCTAGTTTACTGGAGTTTAAGTAATCTGCATCTTTCCACGTCCACGTCACGCAACCACTCCGCTCAGATTTTTAGACGTATTTATTTATCTGTGCGTGGATATGAACTGCTTGTTTGGTAAGTAGTAGTAGTAGGAGTAGTAGTACACTTTAAAAAAAGAGCGAGTAAAAAGGATGTCTTTTTGTCCCACAACAATAATCGTCATCTATATTGCGTTCCATCCTTGCGCTATCGCCCCGCGCCTGGTACATTCCGGTCACGATCGACATGCCCATTATCAGGGTTATATTGCATTCTCGATAGGAAAGTGGCCAGCGCTGAGTTTTCAAGAAAGGAAGCGCACGCGAGCCTGATGACGATTATTGTTCTGGGACAAAAAGACGCCCTTTTTACTCAGTAATTTTGAGAGTGTAGAAAACTTTATTATGTACATAATCCAGACAGGCTAGAACTCCAGTGCCCCTAGGAATATACAGGGTGAAGAGCGAAATTTGTGCGGCAGGGTGGTGCCCCTATACCAGGGCCCCACTGTAAAAAATTACTTTTAATTCAATCTCGTGATTTGTATTTCTTCTAAACAAAACGCTTACGTTCACGCCCCTGCATGAATGAAGCAATAATTCGCCACTGCTAGGTGTACGTTTCTATGCGAATTTACATTTTAGAAGTTCTATTTCTAACAGAGTTGAAGCATTAGCAGCGAAAAAACTCAGATTGAGGAGCAATAAAGCGGTCTTTTGGCTGTACACCAACCACTTGTTGGCAGACGGAAACCTTTCCTTTATTTCAGTAAAACGGCGTTGCGAAGTGCCTTCGATAAGGCTGACTGAAGGAGAGCAATCCATGTCCAAACCGCGATAAAGGACTCAGTTTTGTTGGGGTGGCGTGTTATCGCTGTAGCCTACACAAGCGAGACATGAAAGCAGAGTCTGAAGTTTAGTTCCGCCGTGAGGGCGTCGCGAACCCAAATAACTGCTGTTTGTATTTCTTCTCGCCACCGGGCTTCGTTCTTTTGCCTTCAGTGTCTGTCGATTCACTCTCCCCCGTGTTCATGAAAGCTCCTCGCGTCAAATTCCGTCCTTCGCTTCACAGAGCTAAGCTCTGCGCCGTTGTTCGACTGAAAATGAGGCTTTGCTTCTCAAGAATCGCTGCAGACTATCGCTGATATGCAGTGGCTAGCTCTGCCTAGAGACGGAGCTCCCATCAACTTTCTCAGGGGAAGGTAAAGCATTGTGCACACGAACGTTCCAGAATACAGGTGTAGTATTGCAGAATTCGTGCAAGCGCTAACTCACGATGAAAGCCCGCATGCAAGACGGAGTCGTGTACTCTCCTTTTCCCAGCGCGGATATTCCTTCTTGTTCAGCCTACACGGTCATCGAGGAAGCTCTATCCAGAAATCCGGAACGGGTGGCATTTGTGAGTTATTTCATTGTATCTTTTCACGCTGCATTGCAAGGCCTGGTGAACGGTAGCTTTCAATACTTCACGCTGTGCATTTTCGGGAACATCGGACCGAAGTTTCGCCACAGTCTTGAAGAAAGATGTTGATGTGTAGCAGTGCTGCGTACGGACAGAATCGCACTTGTCTAGAGCCGCGGAGCGCATGCCTGTGGACGCTGTTTTTCCCGACCGCTGCTATCTCACGTTCGCTACACGCTTCCGTTCGCACTTGAGTTAAAGGACTTAGTATTCAGCATAATTATGTTAGGCATAATATACGGCGGCATTCTTTGGAAAATTCAGCAGAAAACGGCAGCTGAAACGGCTCAGCTGGCCGCTTCAGACAAGTGGGATTCCATACGTCAATCGCTAAGCTGTCTATTTTCTGTACATGAATGTCACAATAATTTGTGGTAGAGTACAATATAAAACTAACACGCATTGTTTTGATTGCCAGAGTGATACATTGCTTGCGTGGGCGGGAGTTTTGGTTCCGGCTTTGTCGCAGTGAGGAAGAACATGTGGTGACTGGAGGTGTTGTTCAAGCTCCTCATTTTTTTTCTATCTGTGGGACTTCTCACAAGAAGTGTTTAGTATATCTAAATGTTTATGCACAATTTCCATCAGTACGTCCATGTAATCGTGGCTTTTAGCTTCTAGTTTTGCTTAGTGTAGGGAAGTTCGCGATGCATGAGGTCTGTGGATTCGGCCAAATTTTAAACTGACTGAAAGCTTATCCTAGGGAGAGCAGCTTTCGTGTGTGGAATGACGTTTCCTTCTGTTCACGGTAAGAACCGCAGATTTATGGCCTGTAACGTCATCTGAAGACGCTTTATGTAGTAGTCGGAATTTTCTGAAAAAACGACGATGTCTTGAGTAGACCAGACAAAAATGGTAGTTCATGCCTACCTGTGTGGCATCGATTAGTGCGTTGTACTGATGCAGTGCGTACGAAAATGGGAGGCGCTGAAGAAATAGCGAATGACATGACCTTAAGCTCAAATAGGATATCTAGTGTTGCCATCACAGTTCCTTCTCAATCTGTCTGTGTGACTTTCAGTTTGCCAGTAACCTGTCATGAAGTTCATCGACGAGAAATACCTTGAGTTGCGCAGCTGATCCGCAGTGTCGTTTGGTGGTAAAAAAAAAAAGATACGAGTCATCAGGGATTACGTTGATACGGTGGTAGTAGGTGCAGAATCGCAAGAATGCTATCTTAGAATTGACGCTTGGGGCAAGTTAAACGTGGTTATGTATTTTTTAAATGGGCAGCTAAAAAAAAAGAGGGCGCAACAAATATTGCGCAAGGCCTTCTCACGAATAACTTTATTTGAAAGAACGCACAAAATTTAAACCACGAACAAATGTCGCATGGTCATACTTGATTGATAGTCAAACAAAATACAGAAAGACGTGTTCCAACAAAGATCAGAAACAGCTCGAAAAAAAGTTTTAACATGCGCGCATTGTACTAAGGGCTGAAATGATTGAACAAAAAATTCATAGTCATTCATTGCTACTGAGATCGTGCTTTTGCATTGATTGCCTTTTTTTTTGTTAAAGGGGCCCTGCAACACTTTTGGAGCGTGGTCAAAAAAACGCCGCCCATCGGTAGTAGAGGCTCCCGGCAACACACGAGCCGAATATTATAGCGCACCCCATGGCCTGTAATCTACAATAAATGCTAAGAGTCGGCTACAAATATAGCTTTCTCTTCTCTCTACAAATCATGGCTTTAAGCCCGGTAAGCTCATCTATGAGCCATTGGCTGATTTGAACACGGCGCACTCGGTCATTACAGAGGTCGCCGCGGGAAGCCACGACTTGTGCACGCGCGTGCGCGATCACCCTGAGACAGCCACGCATTCAAAAAAAAAGAAGAAAAAAGTGTTTAAAACCAGAAGGCGCGAGTAACGTGGTTTTTTTTTTCCTTTCCATCACTCTCTGCTTAGCTTCTAGTAATTTCGTCGTGACGAGAGAAGAGATAATGTAATTGCAGTAAGCGACAAATCTTTGTAAGTACACTCGCACTGAACGAATTCTTAAAATTTTTGTGCCGTTGAATTCGTAAGGCAATGAGCTCTTCCGATGAATTTGTTCCGTGGTTGCTCGAAAAAGTGTTTCAGGGCCCCTTATATTGATGAGACTAAACAATGTCTCTTGTAGTCTGATTTTTATGCCTGAAAAAACAAATGTTATCACAAAAATTAGGGGTGCATCTGCGTTATGCATGGTGACAGGCCACATGTGAATACGCGTTGCCTTATAGCGAACGCTGGTGTTCGGACCTTACATTGAAACAACGGCCTTTTTTTTTCAATGTACACATCAACACAGGAAAAACTAAACCTGTATACTAAAGTTATGCCTCGTACAAACGGTGGCGTATGCTGTGCAGCCTTGTTTTTTTATTTTGTGTCGCACGTGATGTTTTTTCGCCAGCTTGTTTTGAACTCTACATCAAGTGTTATGTTGTTTACTCTGCTCCTAAAAATGAATAGCATTGGTAGTATAGCTAAAGAGAGGTCGGTGAAAAAAAAAAGATGACCAAAAAATCTTTACCGTAAAGCACACTTAACCGTATGTGCCATGAACAAAGTGACTTGTACACTAAATTGGGCTTGTCTGTGGTGATGTACACATTGAAAAAACTCGCCATTGACTGAAAGCAAGACTAGAGAGGGACAACCGCTAAGAAAACTTGCTAGCTTTGCAACTGGCTGGACAAGCAATCTCTGAGGAAGAGACCGAAGGGGTCTCAAAGCGTAGGGTCAGTTTTCATTCCTAAAAACTGTAAACTAAGTGTAAGGACAGTCTGATTATTCGTATAATTATACCCAGCCAGACAGATCTGTATATATGTTTACCTTTAAGAAAAATTTATATATATGCCGTTGCTTGTACGTAAGTCTGGCACATCTTCGGTTAGAAGTGGCTCGAATTTATGTCAGATACCCATCCTGCCAGCAGTTACGACGTTAAAGGCATAAAACGTTGTTCTGCATGCCTATTTTGAGCGTATTTTTAGTGATTATGAACGACTCCTGCAATGAATAATATGGGCCTGAAATTTGATTCCACACAGATTCAAGGTTCTATCAAAACAACTAGAGCGGAGTTATTAGCGCTCATGAAGTGCTATGCCGTGGGTTTCCAACAGCAAGGCATCGGTCCGGGGGATCGTGTGTGCGCCCACCTAAAGAACAGCCTCGAGAACCTTGCGGCAATGTACGGCTGCATTTTCGCTGGAGCAACACTGGTGCTGGCGAAGACTTCCCTCACCGAAAGTGCGTAGCCAATGGGCGGCTGCTAATAAATTCTTAGAAGTAAGGGAAGAAGAGGGGTTCGAGGTTTCTCTTTCAGAGGAGTAGCTAAACTGCCACACCCATTCGTCCATTTTCGGAGGAACTGTGGAGGAACCTCTAGTACTCCCTCCTCCCAATGGTTACTCCTAAAGGGAGCAACAGTTGATTTCGGCACAATATGATAATTGGATTTTGGTTGACTTAGCTAGAATATTTTCAGTGTGCGCATGCCTGTGATTAAATTCACAATCTGCATGCAAGCATTGTGTTGAGAAATAAATTTCAGAATATTGAGAGGAAACAGGGGATTTGAGTTCGCGGCTACTGAGTCAGCAAGGGTGTACCACACCACGTTACGGCGCCGCTTGGAAACAAACTCGCATATGTAGGCAATGGGGCAATGGGGGGGGAGTCGTTTGCACACGGCGCGAGTACTGCAGTTACGAAAAAAATGGGGGTGGGGTGCTTTCCTTCCTTGAGGAGGAAAGCGCCCTTTGGCCTGCCTTGCGCAAACAATTGTTAACATGTTTTCTTTTTTTGTGGGGGGGGGGGGCAAAGCCCTTTTTTTGGTGCACGAAACTGGCCTAATTTGAGTGTAGGCGCACCAATGTTTGAGAAACTGTACATAAAAAGATCTGAGGAGATGTTTGTGCCGCTGCTCGAAGGACTGCAAGGACGCAGTGGCATCAGTTCAATGAAGGAGATTGCTTGCGTCGCTTAAGAAACAATGAACAGCATGCCACAGGTGCGGGAAGAGGCAGCTCGCAAACGTAGAGAAGCAACAGGAAGTAAGAAAAAGAAGCGCTTTGGATGGACATCCGAACCGCACAAGGGGCAAACCTGTAGGTGGTATCCCAGTCAGCACCTGGCATATTTCCACTGAACAGTTAAATTTTTCACTGTGGTTGTGCCTTCTTGGAGATTAATAAAAAACCCAGAAAGGAATTAGCGTGAGTTGCACTTGAGGCGCAACGGTAAAGAGGCAGTGGAGCTAATGGGGAGCTTAGAACATAGTGATGCAAAGCCTGAACTAATTGCGTAGCTCATTGGTGGCCCTATTTGTTTCTTTTTTTCTCATCTTTTTATTATCTGTCTTTCTTGTCAATTTCTACTTATTCCATTCTCATCTCCTTTCTTTCTATTTCTTTCTGTTTGGTTTTGCGTTCTTTTTCTCGCAATTTCGCACTTACTTTTTTTCTTTTTTGATACTCTTTCTTTTTGATTTTGTCTTTCTCGTTTTGAATTTCTTTTCCTACGTTTCTCTCTGTCACTCCTCGCAACAGTCTCTTTAGAACACGTTGTATAGCGTTCATCGATGGGCTACACACTTTAAAAAAGGTAGGCAAATATTATCAGTCTCATCATAAGTACTTCAATGTTCTATGTCTTTTTGACCGTGTGTAGTTAGGTTCGCACAATTTTGTATATATATATATATATATATTGTAATGTACTAGACAGAGAACAAGAACAAGAGACAACATCCGATCCTGGGCCAGCTGTTCTTATTCTGTCTTCTTCTTCCTCTACCTTTTCTTAGCTGCCCACGCGACCGAGCCCCCGCGTCTTTCTTCGCCTTGACACTCAGCCATGACTGCGCGCGCGTGGAGCTGGCAGCAAAGTTTCTGCTAGGTGGGCTTGGCTGCATCGTGGTGGTCGTCCCGAACCACAATGCAACATGGAGTGACGGTCTGGGGGAAGCGTCTCTGGTGGACGACACTGGCTGGCTCGAGCCGGTCGGTGAACGCCACGGTGCGCCTCTGCTTGAAGACCTGTCTGTGTACTCAGGCGGGCGGAAATGGCTTTGTCGCTGCTGTTGAACTCGTCCATGGTACAAGCGTTTCCTGACAACTCGTAGAATACCGCTCAGGCGGATGGCCCTGACTGTTCCAGCAAGGTCGCAGAGTAACCTGGAAATGCTGGTGTTTGTCCAACTACTGTTGGTGGACTGAACTGCAGTGGGACGCTCTGTGAGGCAGCCGTGTGGACGTTTGTGCTATTTCTCGAAATGAGTGGCGACGCAGCTCATGGTTGGGCATCAATACCACAGCAGAACTCTCTGAAGTTGTCCAGCTGGTGGCTTCTGGCGAACTGTCGCGTGCAGACATGGTGGGCTGGGAGGGAACAGCACGAGGGCTGGTCTTCGACAAGTTCTCAATGGCAGTGGCCTCAGCCTGACTAGGTGTCTGGATTTTCTCAAAGGAAACATTCCTTGGGAGCCAAGTGTCTGCGTGGCTGAGCGTATGTGCGTCTTCGAAAATGAATGTATGAGCCGTCTGCAAACATGGCTGTGTCAGGTTAGGGCGGATCTTGTTCGCATCCTCGGAAAGGCCTCCTTTGTGAAGCGGTAAAGAGTGCATTTTGTTTCCGACGATCATGGTCTAGTGGGGTTCAGTTGTGTCTGGTACGATAGATGTGAGCGCCTCCATGTCTTCAAACGACAACAAGCGCGAGGACAGCATCTCCTGAGGAAGGTCTGGTGGTGATGTTTCCGGCTCTAATACCAACGCAGAGTTCACGACCTGCAGAGGAGGACTGTGGTCACTTTGGTCAGGCTCAACAGCAGGAAACTCCTCGATATACTTCACTTTACGAGAGGTGTATTTTTGCAAGGCGGAAATGCTCTCGTGTTCAGTTACTGAAGCAATTAAAGCGTGCAGACCCGCTTCCGTCTGATCAAGGATGAGCGTGGTGAAATCCACAGGCACGTGCGTTTGATGACGCGGTAAAATGTCCAGTAAAATGGAGGCTGGCACCTCAGCATCTACCGAATGGTCTGACGACTCCGGATGGCGTTCGTTGGGGCCTGTCGCAGGGCGTTTTGCAAAACTTGCCGTGAGAGACCTACCGGACACAGGTGCACCATCGGGCAGCTGCTCCAGGACAGCAGAAATGCCTGTGCAAGGCAGAGTCACACGATCGGTGAATGATCTCTAGATCTTGGTCACCGAGAGATGACAGGGTGGTAGGGGCTCGAATTGCATCCTCTAGGTCGGGCTGTTCCCGAGTTCCGTCCTGAGAGAAGGTTGAGTTGCATGGGCAGGTGGCACAGGGAATCGGACCGAAAGCAGCTATGAGCTTGAAGCTCCCCTCCGCCCATGACTGCTGCTTCCAACCTTCATACCGGTGCCACGCCGCTGGACCTTCCCGAAGACGGTCTTTAGCCACGGTCCATTTCTGAGATTCCGTCCAGGCCTCACGCATAGCTATCGTGTTGATGGTTGCCACCCAGCTGTCGGCGTCATTCCGGACCCCACGGAATTCCGGTAGTTCGCAGACGGCTGGTGATTGTGAGGTGGCAGGTGGCAATGCAGAGATCACCGACGCGTAGCAGTCGAGCTTGTGTGAGAGCTCGATCAGAGAAGACCGTAGCTCCCGGCGTCGCTCCAGTGTGCTTGCCTCAAGGTCGTGTGAGGCAGCTACATCCAACACTTCGTTAATGTCACACAATGCTGGCAACATTGTAGGGGCTCGCTAGGCCATCAACGCTGTCAGTATATTAGTCTCGGCGCGGAGCAGTGTGATGGTACACCGCAGTTCAGTGGCACTGTCGCACGAGGCTTCTGAACCGCTTTGGTTCGCGTCCGTGAACTACGTTGTTCTAGTAGTACTCACAGTGGTGACACGAACGTCTAAGGAAGCATGAACAGCGTTTCTTGGCGGCTCGTATGTTGGAAGAGTACCGGACAGGGAATGCAGGCCGTGGGAAGCTTGAACAGCATTCCCAAAGGACAGGAGCCCGTGCGTATTACGGCCACGAAGTGGTAGCTTGGTGTCTATTTGGTGATGCCCTGGTACCACAGAGGAGGCATGGACACCGTCCACTGATGGTCCGATGGGCAGCTGAAGCGGCGGCCGGGCTGTTGACTCCATCGCCAAAGAAGCGTGAACGGCGTTCCTGGATGGAGAAGCCCGCACGGCCGACGAATCACGAAGACACGTACCGGTGGCTTCCCGCAGAGGGTTCACTTGTCGGCTTGCGCTGACGGCAGAATCCATAGCCAAGGACGCGTAGATGGCGTTCCTTGTGAAATGGTACCGGTAACGTGTACTGCAGCCGCCGAGGAGGCCTTGACGCCGTCCCCGAACGGTGGTGGCATTGGCGGCAGGTGAACAGCTACCGAGGAGGCCTTGACGCCGTCCTCAAGCGGCGCTTATCACGGCTGTCCTGGATGACGAAGCCGGGACGTAAGACTTCTTCTCCGTCGACTGTGCCATTGTAATGTACTAGACAGAGAACAAGAGACAACACCCGATCCTGGGCCAGCTGTTTGTTGGTTTGTTTGTTGGTTTGTTTGTTTGTTTGTATCTTCTAATCCATGGCTCGTACCCACTCTGGGGGATTGGCCAAGAGAACATATAGTCTCAGATGGACGATAACTGCATTATTGCTTACAACGAAAAAAAAGGGGGAGTTGTATAGTGAAGACAGTATGTTAAAAAAGAAGAAAGAAACCAAAGATTCAGATAGTGAGACAAAAGAATCAACGACAAAGTAGACACTAATAGCTATAACGTGATTTTGGGAGCCGACCAGACAGCTGGTTTTGCCAAACGCGATTCTTATTCTGTCTTCTTCTTCCTCTACCTTCCCTTAGCTGCCCACGCGCCCGAGCCCCAGCGTTTGTCTTCGTGTTGACAATATATATATATATTGAAAAAGGGTTTATTGGCGACTGTTGCGACGGTGGTCCTACGATAAAACACGATCGGGAATGAGCAACGGTCAAGCAGATGCCGGCGATGATCAGCACGAGCCGAGCGAGCGAAGCCCAGGACCCAGTACCCAAGCGGAGGCGATGTTGCTTGCCAACGATGCGATTTCTTCTTCACAATTTTCCCCCTCCGAAAAAGAGCCATCCTGGCGACCTAAGAGTCTGGAGGCCGAGGGCTATAATATGGCTTAAGGCGGGCGACGTGGACGATGTCACGTCCACGCCGGCGCATGTCGTCAGAAGGGGAAAGTGGCTCAATGAGAAAAT